GCGTACCTTGTGGCCACTTTGGAACAGATGGTTTCAGAAACTACCGCCTGAGCGTTCAGCAACGAGTTGGGGCGGACAGAAAAATTGGTAGGAATGCTCGTTGCTGCAGTGATATACCTCCAGCAGGATTCAGCTTTTTCTATGATTGCCTTTGCAGGATTGAGACATAGAGACAGTTTGCCCACTTCAAGCCCTCCCCAGCCTCTTGGGGCAGCCAGGGGTCTAAAGAGATTAATTAGCTTGATGAAGTCTAGCCACTCTTGGGCATGTGCAGGACTTTGCACAGCATTGACTGCGCCCAGTCCAGAGTTTGGCAGGAGCTGTTCACGACGAGTCCTTGGCTGCATGCTGGCTTCTGCGCATCTCAGACAGTGGGTACTACAGAGGCTAAATAATTACCAATATGATTTTGAGGTCGATTTGAGGTAGACAGGATGCCGGGAACATGAAGGACACGGAAAAGTTGTGTGGAGCCCAAAGTTTCTAGAGAACCTTGTGAGAGTGGCCTCAGATCTCACTTCGTCAGGTTCTCAGTTGGGAAGAAGAGAATCTAACCCCTAGATGATCCCTGTATAGTACAGTATATCTCCACATTCCTTACTAAGAACCAGTAAGCCCAGCGTCCGCCACTGCCATCCGGGTAGGCGTAGGTCGTCTGGGTCTCCAGGTAGAAGTGCTTCTGCCCTGCAGAGGAGAGTTTGCCTGGCAGAGTTTTTACTTACTGCTTCTCAGTACGTACGGAATATGGGAATATAATCCCTCTATCATCCCTATATAATCTCCATATAATATATTCCCTTTTGCCCCACTGGGAACCAGCAAGTTTTAGGTGCACATCCTCACTACCTGAGGTAACATATCCGTGAAGATCGAGGTCTATGGCATAATTAATTGGCGGGCGTGGGCCCTCCTGAGTGAAGTCGTTGCATTCACCTACCTGAGAGTATCACAGTCGCGCGAAGCGAGCTTCTGACACAGCATGTCCCACAATACATTGAAGGGTATACCCATGACTTGGAATCCCGCCCAGGTAGACATGATGACACGTTGTAAAGTCGTGGGACGGCCCGCCTCTCAGGCAGTTAGCTCTATGGAACTGATTGCACAAACCTTGCCTTGGCATGATGACAGGATAGGTAATTATTGTTCCTCTTTTGTTGAAGAGGTGCAACACTAATGACCAAATGAAGAAGTACAAAGAAAACCTGACTTTGGCAAACAACTCACATGTTGCATACCTTGATCATGCAGCACGCTTGGGCAGAAGAAGACTTAAGCACAAAAGAATTTCTCCAGCAGGCAACAGCTTGAACTTGAAGCCCAGCTCCTGGCTAGGGTGAGTACCACTCCGGTCTCCTTTTTCAAACCTACAGGCACCTACAGCCAGCAAATGCGGTGCATGGACCCCAAACTGAGACCACTGCCTGGCACCAATTGGGACATGGATGCAGCTACCATGTAGCTCGAAGATCAAGGCGATCCCAAGCCCTCCACAAACAATTGCCGCAGCCTTCCACCGTTGCTGCATTCCCTGTCTCGCGAGCGGTGCCAACGGAGAGCAGCCCGTGACGCTCCTGCGCGGCTTCGTGAGGACAAAGATGGGCGCTGAAACTGACCTAAGTCCTTGCAACTCCTCTGAACCATACATGGCAAATTCCTTTACAGGATGTTTCAGGCACCAAGACAGCCTCCAGCACAGGCCAATGAACCAATGATGCATAGCATGGGCGCACACTTCCAAGCTTGGAGGCCTTAAAGCTTTCGCAAGAGGGTGTTGGGGGCTAAGGGCGCTATGGGCTTGATTGGAGGTATGAAGGATGTATGCGGGATTGGCATTGCAGCGTGCGAAAGAACGTCAAGAGAAAGTTGGCACATAAATGAACTGGTCGAGCAGCATCTGCTCCGGACTCTCTTGTTGGGGGTCAGTACTTTAGCTTCGGGGCCACCCTCTAGGCACGTGCCCGAAAGCATATCTACTTCAGCGCTTCTAACTCTCTATGTAACGACGTAGTACATTGAAGGGTGTTCCAAGGAAACACGCGGAGGGTTCGCAAGTCTGATGAGCAAAAGCTGCATACTTCCAAATAATGAGCACAGGTAGCCACGCCACTCAGGCAAATGGTCTCCAACAATTCATGGATCTTCATGCCAATCCCACTCACTCCTCCACCTTTCCGCGCTTCACTGCCTCTGCCATCTGCACAACTGGTGCCGCATCCTCTTCTGCATATTCCTTGGCTGGCTGGGAAGTGTCCGAGCTTTAGGTTGCGCAACCTCCAAGAATTACTGCCGGATGTAAGCAAAAGTCTGCTAGCTATGCCAGGACCTCTGGACATGTTAACGGTTCTTGCTGTAAAAATTAACGATTTTCCGAGGAATGTAGTTCTAGCAAAATTTCAAGATGCCAATTCGCGCGTAGCATGCGCATGACCCCAAGCCAGTCCACACAAGACAAGCCCAAGTGATTTGAAGACTGCTTCTCATAGAGGCCGGCTTGTTTTGCGAGCATGATAGTCTCGACCATGCGCGCTAAATGCCCCTTTGCATAGATCATCCTACCCCTTGGCATTACTTCATATCCAGGGTGACATCCGACAAAGAAAGCGTTGGTTATGCCGTGACCCATGACCTGCGCCCTGACTCTGCCAACCAAGTCGAGCTTGCGAAAGACTTACCCCTGGCTTGCAAGGAATGAAATAATGGTCCTCACAGTAGTCCCTATATAGTCCCTAATTTTATACTAATTTCCATGTTCTTTTCTATTGCTTCATTCCCTGCCAGGCAGAGGTAAGAAACATCAAGACAGGAGACCACATGCACAAGTCGTGCACCGCAGCGGGCTGCCTGGCACTTTGCCCATCGCATCACGGCGTGTAGCAAGCTGCATAGAAGGGGATGCCGGAATGGACAAGAAAATGAAAACTACCACACTATTGTGCCTCATGTAGGGACAATATACTATAAGGATCCATTCCTTCACTCCTTGCTAATCGGAGATAATCGGAGGAAAGGTTAGTTCTGTGCCTCAAAAGCACCCACACAATCTAAGGTTGAAGCCATGGGCCCCTAATATGGGCCGTTCACCCTGGGATCCTTATATACTGACTATACGCCTTACATGTACCCTTAAGGGTCCCTAGAAACCACTGAAAAGGCCTAAGGACCCATACTAGGGGCCCATACTTCTAACCTTAGACACAACACCGAGAATCCTGAAGCTAGCAAACGTTGTGTCAAAAGTCCGGCTGTTTCAATAACCCCTACGTAATCCCTATGTAACCCTATAGAACAGAATCATAATATATGCCCCATGTAGCCCCCGTGTAACCGTATAAAACCCAGTGGAAGCCGTATGATTATGCCTCAAAGGTATCGGCCAGGACCATCCCAACAATCTGCCCAACATGCCTTGGCTGCGTGGATGGTATCGGCAGACTAGCGAACAAACGTGGAAAACTGCAGTCTGTTGTAAGGGATTATATTAGCCATTATATTAAGGATTATATAGAAGTTATATAGGGAATATATTAGGGCCTTTAGGGATTGTATAGGGTTAATGGAAAAGAAAATGGAGACCCCTACGTACTGGTTCGTAGTAGGAAAATTAAGGGAATACAGTACAGGGATGAAATTCTCTTATTGGCCCTACTAAGAACCAGTAAGACTTACCATTCAACAAAGCTCATTGCAGCTGCCAACGTTAGATGCTTCGATTTTCAAGCCATTAGCTAATCCAGTGCTGGCAAGAACAGGAGCCCCGGCTCCCACAAGAAGTCAAGCACAAGGCTCACCTTTGAGCACTCCAGAGTCATCATGAAGGTTAATAAGAACAAACAGTCAGGACACCAGCAGCCAAAGTTTGTCAATATGATACGGCTATATTCGGCTGCTATTGCCATGATTGCCACAAGCAACAGCGTGGTGACATTGACATCATGTACAGTGGCACCGTAACAACTCGAAGGCCACAACAGTAGCTGGTGCCGCAACCTTCACCATGGCCACACTCATCACTACAACAGTATGCAAAGCATCAGCGCCATGACAGAAACACTAGTTACAAGGCCGGCACCACCTTGCTGAACAGACCAGTTGCTTGGTGGGCGCAGTCTGGTCGGCAAAGATCTGACAGCTCAGATTCCATGCAACAACCGCAACGTGGCATGAGCAACGCATACCTGAACCGGTAGAACAAAGGTTGGGACGGGTACAGTACCCTACAGGCAAGTCCTCCACAAAACCTTGCTGGCCCTCTTCTTGCGAGATGTCAATTGGGAGACAAGATATTGCGAATTCTCTGACGATCACAGCAGCTCATGAGCGCACATTGCATGGCCTGGTTCGGATAGGCAGGTGAAAGGTCATTCACAGCACCTCGCAAAGCGGGTCATGGTCACGCTTTCTCTCAGTCTATTGATAACAAAGCTTCTCAAAACTGCTATCTTGGGATATCTTGGAACTCTGGCCCTTCGCGTTTGGTACAGGGGCTTGAACCAGTAGAACGGTTAGTTGCGTAGATTTGAGGGGAGAAATAACACAGGAGCTCATTCAGGCTCCTTTCCTACAAATGCGACATAGGCCGATGAGGATTCGGGCGCTCAGAGGGCTTAGCGCAGCCGCTCGGCACTGTTCTTCGAAAAATGCGTTCTATGTGGCGCGTTGTATAAGGATCACGGAATTGAAAACGGAAACAACAATATTCTGACTGGGTACATATTGAGGTTTCATAAAGGCCTTATATGGGGACATTACCCCAATAATGCAGCATCACATGCAAAAGAGAAGGGACAATCAATCTAAACTGGGGTTATGTGAGAAATTTATAGGGATTTGGATCATATGGGATACACGGGGCCTCAATCGACTTTCGAGCTCTGCAGAACCCAAATGCCCAAATGGCCTGGACCCGCTACACCCAAACCGACGCACCAACACAATGAACTACGATATATCCCCAGTTTCCATTGCATTTTCCATGGTCTTTTCCGTTTGCTTCTCCATTATTGGGGTAACATCCGTCCACGAAACCACCCAACCAATGGACCTGAGCCGCCCTGTAAGTGCAGCAAGCCCTCAATCAACTCTGCGCCTAAATCCTTCACGTCCGCGGCCGAGATGAAGTGAGTGACTCCAACCACCTCCATACATTCCACTACGTCGATGCCTTGCGGTGGCCAGCGGATTGCTTTTCAGGCTTCCCAGTTCTGCAGGGTGGGCCTTGTGAAGCTAGCCTGGATTCTCATCGTGATACTTTACACTGCGGCCATCCGGACAAGAATTCTGATTTGTCCTGGCTGGTACCTCTGGGTCCACTCCTGAGCAGTCAAGTTGCATTTGATCGCGGCCACCTTCTCAGCATGCACGGGGACCTTGGTCGTCAACATACTCTGGATCTGCCAAATGCAGACAATACCATGCATACAAAGCTTCCTGTAGGTGCTGCTGGCAACAGTCTCAGAATCCGACAAAATCCATCGTCCAAAATCCATCGTCTACTATTTGTACGTGCAAACAGAGCAGTTCAAAAGTTGCTGACAGCTATGACCAGCTAAAGTTTCGTCTAGCGTCTATGGAATTGTCCATGACTGCAGGAGGCAAGCTGACCCATGGCAGACCAGCCGGAAGCACGAACGGCCCTTGCTACTGCTTCCAGATGGCGCCAAAGAGAGTGCGAGGTCGTATGGGCTCGTCTGCCACGTACTGGGCAGTGCCTTTCACGCAAGATGTGGCACTGCTGCCAAGCTTCCTGCAACATGAAAACCAGAGCGGATGGTAGGGGACAATCGCTAAATAGTAACGGCCCATGCCAGTCCGACTACAGGACTTGCGCAATGCTGCGCAGATCAACCTCCAGATCTACTGCTGTGAAATATGACTTCTCCTGAACACGTAGGCCATGTCAGCCACGCACGGGCTGTAGCTGAATAATTGTGTGCACAGGGTATAGGGTGGAGCACCCAGATCCTGGAATGATCCAGGAATGCCCAACGGCAGCCCCACAAAACGGATGCAATTGTGATGACAGAGCTTGCTGTCCCTTCATCCTTCTTTGAGCAAAGCTGCCACAGGCTTGATCTACACACTGGAACTTCTCCACAGGCTGTCCGACCGGTTCCGTCAAGGGGTCCACAGTGAACTTCCTTAGTCATCCGGAAAAGCACAGTGGCGTTGTCAGGTTGCGAGACACCACAACCTACAGTAGCAAGAAGACTGCTACGGAGGTTGCTGTTAAGGGTGAGTAATGAACAGAGTCCGAGCGCTTGACAAGGTTAACAGGCTCAGGCAACGGTGCAGAATAACTTGAGAAGATGACTGACTGATGCATGGGACGAGCCGGATGAGTGTTTCAGTGAGAAACTGGTACGCGATAGAAACGTCTAACCCAGACCAATTCGATTGGCTCGTAGATTGGAGCCGCGGCGGAAAATCACATGATAGCAGACTGGAATTCAATGGAGTTCAAACAGTATAAATCTTCAAACCCTAAGGCAAAGAACTGTTGTATTCGAACCCTAAACCTTGAACCCCAAACATGTTGTATTCAAACCCTAAACCCTCAAATCCAACCCACCAGCCAACTGTCCACACTGTCCACGAGTGTTGAGGATCAGCTGAGAACTATTTAGGTCAAGGTGGGAGTTGTTCGAAATAAGAGGGTAATTTAGAATAATTTCAGTTCCCAATTTAAGGCCATTTTGGTACTGTTCCCTATATAGACCATCATTAAGGGTGAGGTCGTGTGAGGTCGCTCTAAATTGCCCAGAAATAATTGTCCCAAAATAGCCATAAGGTAGGTCCCCTATTTGGTCAGGATCCCCCTTGAAGGAGGAAAATTCCCAATGGTCCCTTGCTTGCAAGGACCTTTAGAACAACCCCTAAGTGTTCCTGCTGGCTTAGACCATACTGGTAGATATTCCCCATGGTATATGACAAATATCATGCTACTGTATTGTATTCACAGTACTTCCAGATCTTCCTCCTAATGCATGACTATATTTGAGAGAATTTGTTGTTGAGGGGTTGGGGGGGGGTTATAGGGGGCGGCCGTAGCCAGCAACACCCTTTTGATCCTCCCCTCTGCGAGTTCTTCTGATTCCAACTGCTGGGTGACTGGTCGCCGCTGCTCTCTGGACGCTGTGGGGCTGCAGCCGCGCTGATCTCCTAAGAACAAGACTCTTATGACTATTCAATCATTATTCTTATAATTACCACTATATCTATGACTGTTATTACAATTATTGCTATTATTACTGCTACTACTATTATGACTATTGTTACGAGTCGTACTATTTTTACCATTCTATGGATGGGGAAAACCCTAAGCCCTACACCCCCCCCCCCTAAACTAGGAACCCTAAACCCTAAACCGTCAACCCTAGGGGAAAACCCCATACCCCAACCCCTAAACTAGGAATTACAGCATGCTGGGGCATCCTAAGCGGCGCAAGAGTTCCTGGATCCCCCCCTAGGTTGGGGCATGGCGCTTGCATCTGATCTGTGATTCATGGATGTACTAGAGGATCCTATGACTTGTGGGGCTAAACCCTAAACCCAAAGCCCTAAACTTACCTGGTCCTCATTGGCTCACTTAGGCATTGCTTTGCAAGACACGGATCGAAAAAGAGAAAGAAACATGCTAACGGCTGGCGGCGGCGTTAACCAGACAAAGCGGTAACTCTAAACCGCATGTAAATCACTTGGAGAGGTACCGTTCTGCAGGTGTCTCACACTATACTGCCGCCAATCGTGCAAAGAGAGAACGCACACAATTAAAGAAAGTCAATCGACAAAAGCCTCAGACATGCTTGTGCAATCAAGGTTGAAGAATCCGCGTCTAGGCATCAGAAACCTATCACAACACACTCACACTCAGCTCTTTGGGTTTCCATGTGGCTTGTGAGGCCCTCCCCGCCTCCGGTGTCAGGACGCCGCCTCGCGCTTGCCGGCCGCGCAGCGCTGCCTTCGCGAAGAGGTTGCAGGCCTCAGGGCTGCGGAGGCGATCAGATTTGGGTGTTTCTTGTGTATGCCATTCATGTGGGACTTTCCCAAAAAAATGGGGGCCCTTGGGAGCCCAAGCAACATATACGGATTGCAAGGAGAGGGGGGGGGGTCCCCATTAGGGATTAGACAAGGATTCTTTCGAGAGATGCTCATATGGCGTAACGCCGCCGTTCAGGGCCGGGAATGCTAGCTACTTTGGGGAGGCTGATGGTAGTGGGAAAGGAGGGGACGGTGCAGAGGCTTGCGTTTGTGGGTGCCGACGCTCAGGATTGGGGAACAAAATCAGTAGCAGCGACGATAGGAACGATAATCGTGCTGCTAGCAGATAGCATGTGGTATGATATAAGCTGTGAACGAATACTGAACAGGAAGTCATAATTGTAATTGTAAGTGCAACTGCAGAGACATAAACGTCTCAAGGACGAGGGTTCTCAGATGGGAAGTTGGGTTTCCTGCAGCTGCGGGTTCCTGCTTAAACTCTCTCCGGGAGCTGCTACTGCAAATTCAGGGCCGTAATACTGTACATGATCTAAGCTTTTTGCTCTTATCATATGTTGTGGGATCTCCAAGCAAATGGGCTTCACAGCAATGCGTATCCAGAATTGCAGCATCATTCCTTCCACTGCTTAGTGGCTTAGTGGGTGCTGTATTGTACAATTTAGACAGTGCTCGACACAAAAAAAGCTCAAAAACCTCAGCAGAGCAACGAGAAAAGAAGCTGAAGGCTGCTGGCAATGACCACAGCAAGAACCGCAACTACCATGTCTGAAGACAAGCTGCGTGACATGGGATCCCTATTCATGCTTTCTGCTGCAGAAGCGGCAAGATTGATCCTGTACTGCTTGTCTACCACGACAAAAGGCGGGTCCGGAATGGATGGGTCTTTGATGTTGGCCTCAAAGCGCTTCGAAGCTAGGGGCTACCGGCTCGTTAGCGTGTAGTCATGCCGATGGCAGGTAGAACGTAGGAAACAGCAGAGCATACAATCTGGTGGAGAAGCTAGGCTGCCAGCATGCTAACAGCTTGAACGCTTGCAGAGATCAAAGATATTTAAGTCAAGGTGTGGGAATCATTTCCTCCGCCCACTTCAACGTGACTTGCAGCGGCGCGATTGCGAAATTCCAGTTCAGCATCTGCCCCCGCTCTCTTCCAGGTTTCGCAGTATCTGCTTTCATTTGTGGAGGTTCATTGGCTCTTGAACAGTATACCGTTACTACAGTCCAAATTCTTTTCTCCTGCCCATGAACCTCCAAGACCCCACTGAAAACATCACGCGAGCCATATCGCTCCAGCACCGGCGCACCTCGATCTCGGCTTTCAGCACCTTGAGATGCTGTAAAGTTAGAGAATGCTGGGTGGGGCCTATAATAACAAGGATTTGGATTTGGGGTTTAGGGTTTGGGGGGTGTCTACATTGGGGGTCACGCTCATGGAACTGCCTATACAAGCCGGGAATGGAAAAGCAAATGGAAACGACTGCATTTGGGGCGTTGTGGAAAAGGCAAATGGCAACGACTACACAGTTTGGGGTTTAGGGGTTTTGGGGGGTGGGTTCTTTTGTGTGGGGATGGCAAAAGCATTTTGGGGTGGCTTACAAGGACTATATTGAAACATAGGAAAATTCCCATGCCAGGGAAAGGTTTCCTAAAGAAAGAGGCTTGGGTTTAGGGTACTATTAGGGTTACACTGGGGTTATACGGGGATAATGGAAAAGGCGCCAGGTGTCTGGATGGAGGCAAAATTTGATCCTAAACGCACCCGAAGATTGAACCATGATAGATTCCCACAAAACACTACCCCCAGCCACTGCTCGCAGTCTGAACTGTGTGACCTTCAAATTAAAACAGCAATCACGCCATCAACCTGATTCTTGAAGGCAACTCTCCTGCATGACCCTTAACCTCAAACTTGTCCAAGTTCCGCATCCCCGACCTGCGGCCTTTGACGTTCCGAAAAAGTGTCAGCGAACTACCATAATGGGTTATATAGGTTCCGGTTGCTGGTTGATGAGTCGTGTCTTCATCTCAGAGGCCCGAAATTCGAGAAGTGTCTTCCTTACCATCAAGATGTATAGTCCCCCTAAGTAAATAGAACATGGGGTATATGGGGATCTTATTATAATATACCCAAAGCCATCTTCTACCTACTGAAGGAGGACTAAATTAGCAATCACTTTGCTGTCCCAATGTTTTCATTGCTGACACGGGCGCGCACACGGCAGGTTAGTCATTGATTTGGGGCCTTCTTGCTTGTACTCAACCATGTGAAATGCGCCCACTGGCTAAGCTATACATACCTACCTCAAAAACAGGGTTCCCCACACAAGCCCAAATACCCTCCAGACGGCCAGAAGCGGGTCATAACACTGATGAGACAGTGCGAAATATTGTGTTACCATCTGTCCCTGAACCCTGAAAGACCCACCTTGCCGGCACTTTCGATGAGGGCCGAAGTCAGCGCCTGACCACGAAGCGCCTGCCGCCCATGAAGAGTTTGTCGGGTTGAGCTGCATACTTGGCAGCGAGGGTTGGACGGCCAGGACAATACGAGGAGAAGTTAACAGCATGTAGTAGTGTCCATCTCATGTTCCATTTTCTCGTCCCTTTGACTCCCCATTGCTGGGGTAATATCCGCCACATAACCCTATAGGCAACCGCATTAGTCACGGCAACTGAGCGCCAGCCCAGGGTGCCAATAAGGGCTGGCAGATCACAAATGATGGCTTGTTGGGCCTGGTGCGGACAACAAAACTAGGAATCTGTCAGAGTCTGAGAGCAATCATCGACCTTCTGTGGGATGAGCGGCAGAAATGTTTCACTAACTTGAAATTTGAAACCGCAAGGACAAAGGCGGCAGCATCGCGATCCTTCATTGTCGCATCCGCCACGAATGGCTTGTGCTCCACATTTCCGAACACCATCCTCGCAGCTCATGTGCTGCGCTGCATGGGGCTTACCTTCTGAAGGGTGCACCTTATTCAATGAGTGTCAAGGTCCGTTTTGGCCTATCCAACAAGAAGGGCTGCCCGAAACAGCAACGGCAGAAGAAGCGGTTTTGCTGGATGACACACTGCGTTCTACTCAAGGCAAAATGGTGAGTGCCCAGGGTTCTCCAGGGTCCATACTTATGGGCTGGTTGCCCAAACCTCAAGCAAAACTATGAAAGGAGGAGCCTCCGGCGAATAAAATCTATGTGCTCAGGACGCAAGGGCCTGTGACTTCCTGCATAACTCTGCTGCCAAAGACTCACGCTTTGTGAAAGAAACAAATTACACTCTTCATATTCATCATCAACATGACTGGCAGCCAAATCAGACCAACCATCTTATTCGTCATTATCCCTTTAAATATACATATATATATATATATCTAATCCCTATATAACCCCAATATATGCCCTACATAACCCAGTATAGTAGCTTCCATGTTATTTTCCATTGTCCCTATATCCCCTATAATAAGGGCAACACACGAAATACTCTAGCCATCATGGGTGATCCTATAACCCCAATATAACCCTAACAAATACCCTATCATAGTATTTCCATTTTCTTTTCCATTATCCCAATATAACCCCAATACCCTAAACCCTATATAATCCTCTAGAAATAAACCCAATATATACGCTACTGCAATATATACACAATTACAAGAGGGTATATATTATAATATATACCCTATTACAATATATACCCTATTATAATCCTACTTCAGATGCGGCACTCTGATCTGAAAGTTTCTACTGGCTCTCCCACGCATGCATTGTTGTCTTACTATTGCTATGCTTCGGAAATGCGCCATATTCCGATACTATATAATATATTGGGGGTATGTAGGGATAATGGAAAAGAAAATGGAAATCACTATAACGGGGCTTATGTAACCTGACCTGACCCCCAATAGGTCCTCACGTCGGAGATGCTCAGCGGGCCGTCTGCAGCGAACTGAAAGAAGAAACCGGCGTTCAGCTCAGCGTGCGTGTTCCTAACAAGGCCAGCGTCATCCACAGCTGCGGTGCGGGCAACGCAGCATCTTATGAGTTTCAAGCCTGATTGGTGTGGGATTCCAAGAACCATTGCCCAAACAAGCCAAGAAGCATGTGCCGTCGCATGATTTTGAACGTGTCGACGAAAGTATTCGCACCTGCGGTGTCAGCATTACTTCCACAGCTACGGACATGCAAGTGAACGTCAGAGAGCTTTACCCGGGTGCCCCCGCCAGCGCGCAGCACTTGTTGCGAAAAACTGCTACAGCAGCCAAATTACAGGCACATGCACCCGTGCCTGGGAAAGGAATCGTGACGCTGTGGATGATCTGCGGCTTCGCCTTCCAGAACTTCTAGAATCTTTTGGATGCTTGAATTGAAAAATTCTGCTGCCTGCTACAGCCCGCATGTGCATGATCATCTTTAAAACAGCCAGGGTGCGCCCACGCGTGGCAGATTTGCATCTGTCAGGAAGGTCACGATGTCCACTGACCTGCTTTGCTTGAGAGAAGGGGTGACACTCCCAACAGCTCGCATGTTCTTGCTGCTTGCCAGTTGAAAAAAGTTGCAGTGCAGGTAGTGTGCTTAGAACCCGTCACAAGCTTTCAAGGAGAAGCAACATTGACAACTGCAGAGCTTCAGCATGCATGCACACTTGAGTGGCTCAAGTAGTTTTGTAGGAGTTGTTTTGCCCCTTGCCTGAGTCACTCCTAAACTGAAAGAAGAGTACTGTATGGAAATAAACCAACCATTGCTATCAGGATGACCATTTCTAGTACTGTCACGAGTACTAGTAGGACTACTTACTATTACTCCCCAGGCCATTGCTTTTGCTGTGGCTTCGCATGGAATAAGGGAATGCAATCTCTATATAATCCCCATATATAATGTAGTCCCATGTTCCCTACTAACCCTAAGCCCTAAACCCTATGCACCCTACGTATATCTATCCCCATCTTCCCTACTTAGAATTAGTAAGTTACCGTTACTGTAACCTGACTCCCCAGGCCAAGTTATAGGATCCTAAAAGGGGTGGTGGTTCAAGGGGGGGAGGGTACAAGGGAGCCTTGGAGAACCTTAGGGAGTATAAGGGAATAATGCGGACTAAACCCTAAACCCTAAACCCAAACCCTAAACCCTGAACCCTAAACCCCCTTTGAGGACATCCTAACCAAGGGACTGGATCTTTTGATCTGCATCCATCAGCTTCAGCTCGGCCCCCAGGGTCGTCAGAAGTAGGCAGACATCACCTTACAGTCCCCCTTAAGTAGATAGAATATGGGGTATATGGGAATCTTATTATAATATACCCAAAGCCATATTCTATCTACTTAAGGGGGACTATATGTTAGGAGTGGCTAGTAGGAAATGAGGCGTGTGTGTGTATATATATATACATATATACCCTATTATAATTTTGTGTATATATTGTAGTAGGGTATATATTGGAGTTATATATAGAGGAGTATATAGGGTTTAGGGTTTAGGGTATTGGGGTTATATAGGGATAGTGAAAAAGAATATGGAAACCACCACTTTACGATAGGGTAGGTAGATATTTGGGATTCTAGCAGGGAATAAGGGAATATATCTTATTGTACAAGGATCATATGCGGATTAGAATCCTTTACTCCCTACTCACGGCCAGCAAGTCACTGTTCCTTCAGGGACATTTTGGGTGTAGGAATAAAAGACAACTGGGGGATTACGTTCTGTAGGGTTTAGGGTTTCGGGCTTACTGGTGCATGAAATCGTCTGGAGGAGTGAGTATGGGCACTGTTGTAGGGGAATGTCTCCATTTTCTTTTCCATTATCCCTATATAACCCCAATACCCTAAACCCTAACCCCCCCCCCCACCAATATTACCCCAATATATACACTACTACAATACATAGGGATCCACTCCCCGACTCCCCTTAAGCGACAATAGGACAGAGGGAGGGACTTGCGACGCGTAGACAGCTACAATGCCAATACCCTCGGACCTCCACAGGCCTCGAAGAATCTCCTCTTGACTTTGGCAAGTTGCTGGGGAAATCTGGATGGGTCTTGGCAATCATCACATTTCCGGCCTCAGGAAAAGCATGCCAAGCTCGAATCCAATTGCACATCAAAATCCATGAGGGCACACTACTTCATTCTGCATGTACATCGGGTAGTGAGGTTCAAGGCTTGGCATGAGGGCGATTGCCGAAGTGACAATAAAGGAGCCACGTTTACGAGCGCTCATCACCACGTATTACCGTGGTGCGATCAACGTTACTTGGACAATGATCTTGCAAGGAGCATGACAGGTCACCCTAGCCATCATTGCTGCCAGCGGGGCCCAGCTGCCCATGTCGCGAACTTGTGGATGTGCCACCTTAGCGTATCATGCAGCGTAGCAATGCGTGTCTCTCTTCTTTTGCTGCTGGCTACGTGCACCCCCTGGAAAGGCGTGGGGCTAAGCACCCCTGGCCCCACGGATCAGAAGTTCATATTATGTAGACTAACCTTTATCGCCCGACATGCAACGAACCAGCGACAAGAAGGCTCACGCCAAGGGGCGAGCTTCAAATGCCGCACAATGGCTGCCAGCTGCGGGGCTGTAGCCTGGGAAGTTTCAGAACATACTAAATAGCAATAATAATAACATTGATAATAATAGTAAATGAAACGACTGTAATACGAATAATAGTATTCATAAAAATGGAATCATGGACATGCGTACATACCAATAGCTGTAGAATGTCTAAAGCTGGGTAGTTTTTGCTGCTTGCAAATTACAACCCGTCCCAGGTGCTGGGTAAGCTTTCTAGTCTCAAGGATTGGCGCAGGGCCACCACTTTACATGCCCATCTGGTTCCAGACTCGCTGAATGCCGGAAATGCCAGAAGTCGGCAGCTTCGAAAGCACCCCTGCCTATCGCAATTATAGCATCTACATCGCAATGGCACCTGAATTGCTAGTTGGACGCTGCTAGAGCCTAAGCCTGCCCAGGGGCAGTGGCCTTCTCGAGCTCCTGAACAGCGGTTGCACATTGGATATTTCAGCAGACCTGGACTCTAAACATCATGTGTACTAGCCATCACCACGTCTGCTTTCTCTTCGACACTAGCAGCTAATTGCCCCGTGAAGCGAGTAAGCACAACCCGTCTGAAGCGCCACGAATCGAAACGTGCGGAAACTCGCTTCGTGGCAAGGCCCTTTTGGCTCTGCTGATCTGTTTCTCCTCGATGACAGAGCTGAGAGTGCAGGCGGCACCCAGAGTCAGCATTTTGTCGTTCCACTCGATGGCACGAAGTTCGGGGACGTTCCTGGCCAAACGCTCTCAGGCCTACCTTTTGCTCAAAGACTGATAAAGCAGAAGCTCATAGGGGTTGTGAAGGGATTCTACCGGGGTAATGGAGCGTTCAGGTGCTCATGCATCTGATTTGGAACATTAACCTTGGGCAGCCCTGCAGATTAACATGACTGAGCCGAGAGTCTGAATGTTGATGAACACATTTGGCAGGTCATTCCGGTGGTACGGGTAGTACTTGGTGACCCCCGTGCTTGTATTGCCTGGAGCTTGGGAAATCATCTGCTCTTTGGGTACCCTGATGCTGCACCAACCATGTCTGCAAGAATGAAGCTAGACTACACTGGCAGCTACCATGTTGGGAGACCATTGGAAGGTGGGGGCAGTGCGACATAAACCATTCACACATTCAGGCCTCAGAATGCTGACATCATGCATTGGGGCGGCAATCCTAGCGACATCTAGCGACATTTTTACTCTCACACAAGAAAGGGCAACAGCTCTCCACCTAGCAGTCTTTGTAAACTCCAGGCACCCACCACCAGCCGGTGTGGCAGTGCTGCAGCATAGGTCCTTGGTAGCACTCAGACTCAACAGCTCTTCTCAGAAACGCTACGTCTGACAGGAAGGCTCAAGACCTGGCGCACTTTGGGAAACAAGACTATTTGGGTATACCCACGCTGGTTCATGATCTGCAGCTCTGTCGACACGAAGCGAAATGCGGCAGCCACCTTTTCATGGCACAGACCGTAATCCTCAAGAACCTGCACAGCGTGTGTTGCTAAAGCAGTTGGGGCTCAGCGCTGCGAAAACATCGCCGATGGCCGTGCAATTGAACCTGAGTTAGTTGCCGGTGTCTTTGAAAAAGGGCCGAAGCATAAGCACCATACTTCACTTCGCTGATTTTGGAGACGTCGTCTCCCCTAGACCGTTAGAGCAGAGAGAGGATGCTTCAGGAAAGCAAGCGCGCCTCTGCGTGCCTACTGCGCCCTGACACGCAACAGCGACCCCTTGAAGATCTATGCAAGTCCAGGTCTACACGAGCTCATAGTCCTCTCTTGCAGGATCCCTACATGAGGAATCCCACAACCCGTAACAGGCACCCCCTAACATCTATTTGCGGCCCCCATACATATTGCAGAAAGCAAGATCATCAAGGACTCACCACAGACTTAGATTAAAATGATCATGCCAACATCCTTCTGAATCCTCATCCATAAAACCCCCAATCCCCAAGCCCCCTACGGTGTTGCAAACTCATACCTACTTCTCAAACATGACCACCCCAATGTCTCCCACCAAGTGATATTAGCTACTTGTCAGAGTGCACATAGATTTGACAATGCCCGTACAAGTTGCAGAATTCCCATATCATCCCAAAAACCCTTCGCTGACCCCACAGAATAACCCCCATACCGTGGGAGAATCCCTCACCCTGTAATAGTGGTATAAGAGGACCCTAATATAATCCTTATGATCCCTTATAGTCACTATTACAGGGTGGGGGGTCCACCTAACCCATACCCCTGAACCCCCATACCCCTGAATAATTTCCCTAAACCCTAAACCCTAAAACCCTAAAAAACCCTAACCCATACCTCTGAAGAATCCCCGCACTGAAAAATTCTGCGTTGAGAAGCCACAGCTGGCCATCCCGGCTCAACACCGAGCTCTTTGGCGCGTAATCCTCCCAAGTATCATAAGCTATAGTCTAAACTCCTTAATATGGGGAATTAGACAAGGGATTATATTGGGAAGTATTATAGGGGTTGTTAACAGGGACACTAGGAGTTTTGATATGGGGGGATGTATCAGGAGCTATAGTCTAAACTCCTTGGACTGGGGTTATATAGGGGATTATGTAGGGAAGTATTGTAAGGGTAATTAACAGGGATTGATAGTCTAAACTCCTTGAACCGGGGTTATATAGGGGATTATATAGGGTAGTATTATAAGGGTTATGAACAGGGATTGATAGTCTAAACTCCTTAATATGGAGGCTTAGATAGGGGAGTAACATAATAGAGGTTATTACGGGGGATACTAGGAGTTTAGACTATAGCTCACTGACATGGGTTTGGTGGCCAAGGCGCAAGGTGTATTGCCATCCACTCCATGGTCTTTGGATTGAATAGCTAACAGAGGCAGAGGGGTCTCTGCTACCGGATTTGCTCAACATGCACAGTGAGCAGCGTGTGTCGTCAGGTGCTTGCAGGCTAAGCTGGTGATGATCTAAGTCAAGAAGTGAGGCAAGCCGCTAGACAGGACGCCCATCAAAACGACAGTCTGCAACAGCAATTCAACCCCCTTCTGACCTGCAAGATCAGTGTGCAGAAAGTGTGAGTTACCCTACTAATCCCTAGCGATATCCTGTCGTGGCATTTTCTAGATTGGCTTGTCTTGGTCTCCTGGATCACTCATTGGAATCCAGATCATACATTAAGCTTCAGCGGGTAACATTCCTCAAGGTTCGGAGGCTCCTTCCAGGCATTCTCCGTTTGTTGGATACTTCTTTAAAGGGGTCACAATTCTGTAAAGCACCCACAGAGTTGCCATCCTTGGTGGCCGCCAAGTCTGCAGTACAGTCAGGCTGGAGCACGGCATCCTTCATGGCCTTCAGCATAGAATTGTCGACAAACGCAGGTTTTCTCACGGCAATTACTTCGACGCCCGTTTCAACTGCAAAAAGCTTCATTTCCGGCATTAGCCGCCTTTGCGAGGGTTCGCACCAAAGAGCCACCCAGCCGCCACCCAAAGCTTACAATTGTGCAGTATAGACTTTCTGCACATTTTATTCAAAGACTCTGCGCCTGCATTACACGGTCTGAGGTCCCCACGTCGTGGATTGGACGATAACCAGTGCAGCGGCACAGGTTCCCCTGGATACAGCCCTCAATCTCCTGGCGGAGAAACATCTGCTGCCATCAAGATCCGTAGATAAACTTTAAAGGAATAAGCTTGCATCATGAGATCTCCACGGAGTTGCATGGTTGTCCTACAACGTATGAAGCGTATTTGGGAATCTTCAACCCTGAAACATCCTTGCAAGATGAATGAATGCCCTTTCTTCTGCTGTGGCAGACACCAAATCAGGAGGAGGACAAGAACAGTAGCAGTCGGAAACAGAAACGGCGCTAGCCACACCTGAAAATAGACGAGCAGCTACAAAAGCGGCATGAGATTTAGAGATTGAGCTTATCTGCAATACCCCGTTCCCATTAGAAGTCTCTTGCATTTTTGCCAGGATGACCCCAAAAACTGTGAACCGTCCTGCGGCGCCCTTGAGCCTCCCTTGGCGAGGTGACCGTACAGGGCCATCACCATTCCAGGGGTGCACATGCCTGAGAGTTCACATCACGGGTCTAGGGTTGCGGGAGCTTGGGACAAAGTTTAACGGGTTTCGAGTTTAGTTTTTGTTCCAATGCTAGTGGCCTTGTTTCTGAACATCCGAGCCTACGGGCTGTAGCCTGCGTAGAGCAAAAAACAACTCAACCGAATTGCTTGAGAAAGCAGGTCTTGTTCCTTCTGCGCATCTCACTGCCTGACCTACCAAGATCCTAAACCCTAGACCCTGGGCAGCCCCAAGCCATGATACCACACTGACTCGCGCTGTGTTTGGCCATTGCAGTTTGGATCGCATGCGGCTTGTCCGGGCTGCCTGGGCATGGGCACAGCTAAAAGAGACTGAAGTTTGGTTATCCTCGGGGCTCAAGCACTTCAGAAAACATGTGGACAGTAGTGGAGTCTTGGTCGTTGTCCTCAGGATACACATCTGTCATGTCTGGAAACTTCCGTAGTACTCTTAGCATCACAGCTTGTAACAACTTCTTATCATGAGCCTACTTGTCCAGCCGAAGGTTACCAAGTGGAAGGAAGTACCTTCAGCGCATTTGACGGCAACCACTCATGACCGCTCTGCGCAACCCTACAGCTGGTTTTACACATTGGTTCATTATTCCTCTCTTGGACGGATGGTGCACGGCCCTGGGTTCTCTTTTCGGTGCAGACAAGCTCGGGCAAAGACGGTTGAACTTGCAATGATATATATGTTGGGTTCAGCAAGAGCAACTAGAGGTTCCTTCTCAGGGCCTTCAGGTCAAGAGAACGCACTTCCTCGCGAGGCTGATATACAGGACTCAGCCTTGAACGCGGAAAAAACTGCTTGCTGCCAGCCACCCACTTCCTCAATGGTAGTCACCTCGTAGCCGTTCATCCTTGGCTTGCATCTCTTGTCTCGCGGCAGAGTCTGCACGGAAGGCATGGAAGGCACGCGCTTCTCAATAGAATTCCCTGCTCAAGGGTTTGGGATGTTCAGGGTTGTCACAAAACCAGGCAACCACTCTTCCACATCAGTAGAACCACCACGCCATGACCTTGAATTTATTCAAAGGGAATGGAAGCGTGGATCCTGTAGCAGTCCCTATATGAACCTAGCATAGTAGCTTTCACGCTTTTTCATTCCTTGGTTCCCTACGAATCACCAGAAGCCCTACATAACCCCAACAACCTCAGCTTCCATTTGATTTCCCGCCACCAAGGCACGAATGCAGAGGTCGCAGGCATGCGTTGCAAAGCACCGGCGCAGCTTTCAGGGAGAGCAACTGGCACAGGGGACTATACGGGATGTTACAGAGGCTGTATAGCGAGTATATAGAGGTTGTACAGGGGTTGTATGGGGATTTTATTATGCGGGCCATTGCTGGAATCATGAAGAGCCGCGCAAAGAAGGGGCTCATGGTAGCCGCAGAAAGGTTCTTGAAATGCATCTCCATACATCTTACTTCCTCTCACCGCCAGAGCCCATCCTTTCCGAGAAAGCTTAACCCTGAAATCCATGTCTTCAGATAAGGCGCATTCCCCCTGCGCAGCATCACAGTACACGCTCCGCAGCCACCCTGTGACGATGAGGCTGGGAGCTGTCTTCAGTAGCCATGCAGCTTACAACGAAGAAACCTTTGAAGGAGCTCGAGTTCCTGACATGTCAATAGGATGAAATGCGGAATTGACTTGGTCCGTCAGCGCACGTTGCCGGCAGGTTTACATCCAGCTACTCTGAATGAATCACGCACGCACGAATTGGGAAGGAAAGAGCTCAGAGGCTCAGAAGGTCCGTCATGCCAAGCTTGCAGAATCCAGCAGGCTGCATGCCCAAGCAACTGCAAGTCTAGCTCATGGAGGCACCTCGCCACAACCGATCTTGGTTCCGGAGAGTCCTTCATGCAACTTAACCGAACATGGATGACGGAGAACGGGAGAAACCTGAGCCTGAAGATGCTGGCACCCGGATACTGAGATCTACAAGGGAGGTTCCCACAATTATGGGTACCTTTTTGGGGGTCCCCATTATAAGGATTATAGTATTTTGGGGTCTATATTGGGGTCCCTTTATTATGGGAAACTACCACAAGTGTCTGATATTGTACCATGCAGATGCCCAAAGGAATCTCCAAACCTACATCCCGAATCTTGATGATGCTGCAAAGTAGATCGAATCGAAGATGTAGTTTCTTAGATTTCTGTATCCAGAAACTGCAGTCCTTCTTACTGCGCTGCCTTGTGGGAACCTCTATGTCTGGGAATGTCAAGGAAAATGCCATGACATTCGTGCACCCGTCCTGCGTGGTAGCGCAAGTACTCTGCCAAGTTCCTTGTGCAAAGGCATTCAGTATCTTTTCCGAGAGGCTAAAGACTTTGGAGAACTGGCATGGGGCGATTTTGAAGGTACGTACAATATGTGATACCGTGCATCCTGAATGACTCAAACGTTAACAGATTGGCCTCCTGAGTTTGATAGCCAATCTTTTCCTTCAGAATTGCAGCCAAGTCTCATTGACAAAGGGAACTGGCCAGAGTTGATGACCTGCTTGATGACATACTACCACAGAGTTACATGCTGATGGCATGGTTGCTTCAAACAATTGCACCACGGCTACCGTCGCCACCTCTACTATTGCTCAGGCATTGAGAGCTGATTGCAAGCAAATAATGTCTGAGCCTGCTCCTCGCCATTTACCCAGAAGACCACAGTGGCCTCGGTGTGCAGGATTCAAACGGGCTCTGCAAAGGTCTACTCAATTAGTATGAACTACTTTGGTACAGGGTTTTGCATGCTGGCGGAAGAAACTAAGAGCTGGCGTGTCACTGCGAAGAACACCAAGCATGCCCGAACAACCCAGGCCGTACCCAGCCTCTCCGGGTTTTCCGAAGCGCTTGGCGAGATCCTCCTGGTGTACACAGGCTCTGTGGCTGGGCATAGTTTTTTCCCTCCTTGTCCCGCCAAAAGGGCCCCTAATTTTCTCTGGCTTCTTCTAGGGTGAGCTGTGCAGGCATATTCAATGCAGGCAGTCAATGACTTGCGAAAGCAGCGTGCTGGGACAAGCGGCCTTGTGCTAAGTCCGGCAATGCAGACGAAACCGTAGAATCCCCCTAGAAGCTTGCGCAATGTAAGTGACAAAGCCTATTTCTTGGTGTCTAATTTATGTGAAACATGCGCTACTGGTTGGACCTGCCTTCCTTTGAAGCCTTCGGTTGCCACTTCGTTGCATCAAGTTAATCGCTGCGACTGCAAGAGCCACGAGAACTGGGCAATGTAAATGACAGTAATTGCTCTTGTGATGCTTCGGTGCTTCCTTTGGAACTGTAGCCCAACCCGTTCCTCTTGAAACTAGATGTCAATGCATCTGAGACACCGGTTAATTTGCTCATGACATCCCGTGAGCACTTGCCCCAGACGCAACTGTTTCCCTGACTGCACAAAACAGCCTGGAACCCCAACTTGCACACCAAACACGAATCTTGAAACTCCTGAACTCCAAGCAGCCCAAAACCACTCAAAGACATGAGGACCTCTCGGACATCAACCTTGAAATATGTTCGCCCTCACAGCATTGCAGGTGAGAGTCCGGCAAGGAGTCTAAGCGTGAGCGGGAAAGCAGAGCCCACTCTCCGTCCTCTGACCTGGCAACCCTCTGCAGGACAGGGGCTTTGAAATATCATAATCCCTTCCGCAGGATGGTGTCAAGAAATTCAGCACTACCCGCGGGAGGTGGGTCTACACAAAAACTCGAACAAGAAACGATGGAGGCCCTGGCCCTACCCCTCCAGCCCGGCCTCTTCGACCTCACCTCTGGAGGCTTCACAGGCGTGGTCTCTGCGGGCATCTCCGGGGTCGACCCAAAGTAGACCCTGCCAAGCCGTCAGTCAGAAGGTCTGCAGCTGATGTTTGTCGCTCATCTAGGTTATCACGGCTACTGGCACTCAAGGTCAATAGAAACCGACTGCACCATTTTGATTCTCATCCGGAAAGAACTGGATTCCGCGACAGGAAGAGTAAGTTCTAATCCCGAATCATGCCTGTACATCCCTACTGTCCCTAAAGGCCCCCCGTCCCAGTTGCTTGCGTGTGTGCGCGCCAGGGATGATGCCCAGGTCGGGATGCGGCTTGGCGCCTCTGGCTACACCCGCAACTGTTCCATTTCTGAGCCAGCGTTAAGAAAGGGTGTGATAATAATATATTGTTGCCGAGCCAGAAAATCCCAGAAGATAGCTGTCGCTTTCTAACACGTTCGGAGCCCGAAAAGTCTAAACAAGTTCCAGCGGCAATAATAAATAGGTGACAATAATAAAATTGTTCGCCGGAAAATATCCCGAGGTTAATAGGTTCCCTTCTACTCTAGTTACTAGTCCTACGAGCTGCGCTAACTGGTCCTACCACAATCCCTTGGTTTCAGTACAAAATACAAAACAAGATCCAGAGGGGGGGTTCTTTATGGTCAGCTCAACGTTAGGTCCCATAGGAAATCTGATACACAAAAAAGGTGTCAAGGAATAAGCCGGCTTGAGCTGTAAATTGAGCTTGTCATGCTTGCTTCGCAGGTCTGATCATGTGAAGTTCCTGGCGAACAGCATGCGCGCCAGCCAGCAACTGTTTTGCAAAAAAATATGTGCTTCGACTTGCTTGCATTTAGCCATGCAGCATTTGAAGCTGGCAATAACAAAAACCATCCCCTAAACCCTAAACTGCTGTACCGAAGGATCAGAATGACCCCCCACGTCCCTGCAGTCAAGGCTCGGCGCTCTTGTGGCTCGTCCTTTGGCCTGCAGGCAAAGGCCAGACCACGGGTTCAACAACTTCTTAAGTGGCCAAAGTTATGAGGCTTGTTGGAGTCCCTTAGATAGTACAAGCCGTAGCATGGCAGAGACCCAAAAAAACAGCCTTGATTTTGACACCCTTCCTTGTAATCCCAATGTTCGAACATTCAGACAAGGCTGCCAGTTGCACCTCGCTCATCGCCAGCAGACCCCGCTTCAAGGGTTGCGGTTGCTTTAGGGCATACTCCGAGCACGTACAGCAGGGGTTGCACATACGGGTTTGCCTCAAGCCTCAAACCAAACATTGGGACCAGAACTGTTCCTATGTTCTTGTTGAAGGAAAGGAACCATGCGCGGTATGTCCATCCACATGCCTCATGATCTACAGTACCACTCTTCTCGACCGGCGTGCTCTTCTCCCCCCGGCAACAGGAGTGAGCCGCTGGGCCTGATGTCCAACACAAGAGAGAAGTTCTCGCTGATGATCCGACCATCCGCGGTCCGCAGCACAAAGTCGTAGACCTGGGAACAAGGCTGTTGTATAGCAATGCAGCGCTGCTAGCCGCGAGCCCCAAGGCAAAGAGCGGGGAGGAAAGTGAAGCTTTGCGGTTCTAAGTGGAGCCTCCCCTGCACCATGGCCCGATACCTTTCTCAAAACCCTTTTCATGTTGCCTGACAGGTCTTGCAGAAATTGCTGTACGATCCCGCATACAACCACTACAGCTTCTGAATCAAGCATGCCCTCTATGTAAGTCCAACATCAACTCTTGCATTGCAGCCCGTCTCAGAGGCTTCTACGGCATGGTCCTCCTCGTGCGGTGCTGATGTAAGGCGTTCCCAGGTGTCTGGGACTTTTCTGCCAGCTTTGCCACTAAAATCCTTTGACAACCCCAAGTTTTATCCGCTTCATCAATCCTTCTCATCCCTTAGTTCCAGTCCCTGTACAACTCCGTTTCAAACTCCCAAGAACAGCTGAACAGTGTTATTTTTGGTGGTTGAACGCTGTAAGATTTTATTATATCAAAGACTATACCCAAAAACAGGATAGAATCTTACTCTATATCCCCAAACACAATACTACTCAGCTGATAGAATCTTACACTCTATATCCCCAAAGACAATA